TATCATTTTTTTTCCATTTAGTTAGTTTAAAACCACTAGTAAAAATGCTGTTCTTATTGCAAATGGTTAAAACAAATACAATGAGAAGCATGCTTTCCCAATTCCACTAATTCAAATCTACTCATATTTTCTTGTTTTCTCTTGGGAGAAATTGTAACCGCACTTAAGGAAGTCATAAATATTCACTAAAATGTTGGAATCTGCTTAGACGCAATTTAGTTCGCTTAGTAAGCATTAAACTGCGCAAAATCTTGATTGTTCAGACTAGAATGCTCTATTTAAATTGAGAGTAGTTCATCAAAGTTCTTGCAGAACTTTGTAATACCACATGAATGATGGCTTCTGAGCTTTTAAGAGAATAAGAAAAGTTAAAATCACTTATAAAACTCGTATATTTCCTGTAATTATTTCAGATTCTCCGAATTCGGATGTTATCATTCTCTGGTATTGTTTATAATCGCATTTAATGTTAAATGCTGGGGCAAAGACAGATTTATTGAAGATATTAGGCAATTTAATTGCATTATTATTTAACGCTATCAAATACATCAAAAATACTCCAACGTGCCCCTTAAATCGTCGTTTTTATTATTATTATTTTTTTTAGTTTGAAATTTACCTTCTTTTTTTTATTTCAAAGGCTAAGCTAAAAATATGTTATGCATAAAAAATTATTCATTTATTACGCATCTGAATAATTTATTATTATACAAAATATTAATAAATTGCATTAATTGTTTTAATTGTTATAATAATGACGCAATCAGTTACAAATTTGGCAAAAAAAATTATTTTAAAGATAAATAATATCTGTTGCCAAGCAGCACATAGAATCTTTTACAGTACTATAATATACTTAAATACATATCAATACAATCAATATTTTATGCTGATTTTCAACATAGCAAGGATAAAATATTTTCTATCATTTACAAAATTTTGGAATACTTAGTTCTGAGAATAAATTGAAAATGGAAATTAAAATTTTATTTCCCTAATTTAAGAATAACATTATCGCTTAAACGTGTGCTATGTTTTATGAAAACTCCATAGTATTTTTCCATTAAAATAGTTTTTCGTCAAACACTATTTCTTAAGGAAAGAAACAAAATTTTCGTTAAATCTTTCTTTTTTTAATATATTTTTCCCTAGTAGATTAAAAAATCAAAAGCCCTAATTCGTTTAAACAAATATTACTATATGCATCATTAAGCTATTGAGTTCATGAATTATTTATACATTCTTAAATATATAAATATTTGTGGAAAAATGAAATGGTTTTTTTTTACTGTTCTATTGCAGTTTAAAAACTTTGCATTAAGGATAAAATGAGTACCTTTTTTATTATCTTAATGACTTATTTCAGTCTTAAAATCCGAAACAAAGTCTTTAGTTTGTTCCATTCAGCAAATATTCTCAGCCAATTTCTGCTCTATACTGTAAAAAATGATTACTCAAATATCACGAAAATTTTTATTTCGTTTCTGACGAAACCATTTCTTGGTATATGCTCCGAGCTAATTTTTTGTCAAAATGAAGAAATAACTATCGTTTCTTAGTCGAGAAAATAATTTCGTCAAAATTAAAGAAATATCTCGTTATTATATTTTTTACCAATACAAACTCGTAGTGCCTGAAGTATCTAATTTTTCTAATACTCATTTTATCGCGGTCCCCATATAAGTGCATCAATGTCGTCCTAGCAACACAAGAAGTACACAAGTCCATACTCGAGGCAGGATTCGATCCTGGTATCTTCCATGGACGAAACCAACTTCTTGACCACCATACAGCTGTCGGTTAAATTCGTCACTTTATTGTCAATCGTATAGTCTTCATTCTAGTTAACAATCTCCCGCAATGCACTACGATGAGATTTATAGTAGAGGAAGCATTTTCGTCATATGTTTCAGAGTTCACGTTTCGCCACAAATCACGCGATTTTGTGACAAAATTATTTTTAAAATTAACGCACTATAGCTAACGGATTGATGAATCATCAAAACTGAAAGTGTAGAGATCTCAAAATGATATTAAAATATTTTTCGAACTAATAATCGCAAGTAATGTCTTAATAACGTAAATTACTATAACGTAGTATTTTATAAATTAATTTTATGTAATACGTTTGATAATGAAATCATTATATCTTAAGACATTTTATATGTTCGGTACTAACAAAAATCCTTCAACTAGATTCATTTTTAGAAAATTTCTAAAGGGTAAAGTTCTTTTAAATTTCAAATCGACTTAATAGATTTTGAAAGTTTATAAAATAGTGAAACTCTAAAACATTACATGCATCAAAATAATGATATATGATATAGCACAATAAAAATAATATCATTATTTATTGGAGGACTTTTTTTCCAAAATAGAAATAAGTGACAACATTTGTTTTATTAGGATTTACTTCAGATCGTTCTGTCTGCTATAATATATTAATGATAAAAATTTTACATTTGCATATAAATTTAAGCACACTCATATTTTTAAAGCTTAATTACTAAAAAAATCCATTTACTGGGTCTCAGGTTTGTTGAGATTTATTTAAAATCAAAATATTTTATCCTTTTTTGGCAGAACAAAGTTTGAAGTTCTTTGACAGGACAAATTTTAAAAATAATATAATATTAGGACCCATACTTTTTGCAATATGTAATAGTATCTATAAGATGCCCATTTATATAACAGTTTTTAAAATCTCTCAATATTAGTTATTTTGTTGAAGTTTAAAAATATCTGCATTTTTTAAGAAGTCAATACCATTTCAAACCAGTACACAGCCAAAGACTCAAAAATAAATTTAAATATTTAAGACTACAGCAAGGAAAATTTTTGCTCCTGTGATTGAACTAAACTCATAGATGTAATATTCAAATAAAAAAAAAAAATTTTACGTTCTTAATTTAAAAAATAGAATTTTATATTCCGCGGAAGCACGATTTTGAACTTCCAGAGACCTGATTTATTTTTAATATATAAACGTTTTACTAGTTTCTAAATAGAAGTATTCGCATCAGTAAAATATTTTGGCATTATCGATCTGGCAGTAGAATATTGGCCATTAACATATTTATTGTTTATACAAATTTTAAAAAATTTTAAATTATAATGAACAATAATCAAGTATTTCAGATGCTTTGTTTTCAAACTTTTCTTTCGTATTTAATTATTAACAAATATCGAAACATCTGAAACTTGTTTTTTGAACCACTAAAAGAAGCTTTATAATAAATACGCTTTAAAAATTTATTTGTTACATATGAAATTTTAATTTCGTTCTTTTATTAAAAGGTGTTGAACTAAAAGTATTTTGATCACTTAGAAAAAAAATCTTTAAGTTAAAAATAACCCATTTCATATCTAATAGTTAACAAAAATCTTTAAGAAAAAATAATCAATTATCTATCTAATTATTATCAAACATCTCAATGTGCAGAAACTTTTTATCTATCATTCCAGAACTGCAAAAAATGTTCTAGAAAAAAGTGTCTAATTAACGTTATTATTGTTTAGCATAAATGTTGCATGCTTCGTGTTCTTTAAGCGTAAAAATAAAGAGATAAAATTTAAGAATTTATAAGTTTTTATGCTAGCATTAATATCCTATTGATTATTTCATAAACAGTGCATTTCAAAGTAATAATAAAAATTATAATCATAAATTCATAATAATCACTATAATAAATACGAAAATACCTTTTAATTTCTCTTATAATTAACATTAAAATGTGTAGATTTTCCTTATATTATTCATTTGATATAGAAACCCCACTGCAGTAAAATATTTTTGCTCATTTATATTTTATATTTATCTTCATCTTCAACATACAACAGGAGGTATTATAGCTGTATTAATGACTTAATCCCAAAACAGGTATCTTGACTTCGTTTTCGTAATATCTATATCTTTATCTATAAACAATCACGGTCGCCATTTATGTCTTATTTTTTATGAAAATATTATTAGTATAATAACAATTAAAAAAGTGGAATGTATTATAAATTAACTAACATGTAATTATCTACTAAAATATTATTGATTTGAAATATCAAATGCATACTTTATATTTAATTTTCATTGATTATGATATTAATACTCCTTATTTATTTTAAATTTATATTTATACAACATCAAACCTAATTTTGTTTACATTTCACATTCTCCATTGATAGTATTTAAATAAAGAAACATGCATCTAGAAAATTTCCCAAAAATGTCAACTAAACATCGAAATTTCAGTACCAACGAAACACAGTAAATCATTTTAAAGCTTGGAATATATATATTTAAAAATGTACAGCGTTAAATATTGTATTATAAAACCATATTATATGCAGAACCCTTTTAAAAACTTGGCATGCATTAACCGACCATTTGTTTCAAAGCATTTTCAAAATTATAAAATAATTTTCAATGTATTTTGTTACCGACATTAAAAAGTTTCAGACTGCAAGTTTACATAAAATATTTTTAATTTTTTTTTAATTTGCTTTAGAATATAAGAGAAATTTAAAAATATCAATGAGTTACCAGGTCGTCAGCAAGTTACTAATTTGTTGCAATTTCGGGGATTATTTTTTTGCTATATTTCTGAGTTCTACTAAAACTATGCCAGATATTTATCTCAAAATAGAATTTTAGTGACGCCTAATGCAACTTTATATAAAGTGTATTTTAAATTTAGAGAAATTTCATATTTAATCTCTTCTACTTTTCACGCGAGTTGTTTCGCTTTTTATCAGTTACTAAATACGAGTATTTAGGCATTTCTTACATCCAAAAATTGTTTTGGAAATTTAATAATAGCAATGGATTTAGATAAATAAAAGACAATAAACCGTGTGGGAAAAATCCCTCAAAATATGTATATTTTGTGCAGTACATTACAAAGCGTTTATCAATTAAAGTGTCGGACAGTTACATTTGAAATTGACTATCTTATGAGCTTTTTTACTGCTGTATTTTTTTTCTTAAATTTACTTTAATGTTGCAGGCATAAGGCTCGGGGATCCATGCAAAACTCCAGAACAATGCCAAAATTTCACACCCAACAGCACTTGCTCAGATGGTGTGTGCAGTTGCGAAGATGGATTCTTCCAACTTAAAAAGATAAACAGTTCAAACTGCGAATCTGGTAAGTAACAACTTAAGTCTCTTAAACTTAGTAAAGGAAGCTTGCAAAGTTTGAACAACTTTTTGGAAGCATATTTTTCTCTAATTTTTTAACAATAATAAAATTTTCACATTAGCGTAATTTGATAACTTATAATGCTTGTTATATGTGTAGATACTAATTCTTATCTAAGTATTATTTTTTTATTTATTTATATTATTTTTTACCTAAATTATAAACTGTGCTTTTTACGAGCGATTTTATTCAATAATTAATGGTTTCAGCAATAATTAAATGTTAAAGGTAACAATTGCGTCTAAAAAGAAGCATCAAATATTTATTCACCATTGAAAAATTTCAAATCTGATGAGAAATTATTAAATTAATTTTGTTTCATTCAGTAAACTAAACTATTGGAAGACAAATTTACTCTGAGAAAAAATGTGAATTTTACCTTGTTTATGGGATCTATGTTATCTATGAGAGCAGCAAAATGTTTAGTAATTTTTAAGGAAGGGCTTTGCTAATGATTTCGAAAAAATTAAAAATAAAGTATGATATTATAATATAAGATTAAAAATTGGTGAATGCTTTAAAATTTGAAAATTTTATCATGATACCTTATGGCATAGCATGAAAACCATTTATTCGGTAAATATAATTTTCAGTTTTGTATTTAATACTAAATAAATGTGTGGCAATAAGAACTATAATCTTGAAAATTAGAATTTCCAGTAAACCGTTATTATATGAAAGGAAAAATTACAAAATGAATGATTTAAATACCGTATATTTTAGTTTTATTACCATAATCATGTTTTTTTTAACAGTAATGTCATTACCATACAGTAGGATAATTTTACTAGAACTTTTTTCTCCATGTATTATGCACTTTTTTATGCTTTTCGGTCTTCGCTTTAATATTTAATATTTTTTTTTTCTTTTCACATTGTGCCGCTCTTCGATTTCTTGTTTAACAGAGATATGGGTCAAAATTCTTGAAATGCGATGATGAGACAAATGTCTCTTATCAACCATGTTATAAAAAAGACAACTAAATAGAAAGTAAACAAGAAGTATACTGGTTTATAGTATATTAGGCTAAGCACACAAAAAATTCTACTTTTTTCTAAATATAATGAGACAAACCTCTCTTATCAGTCATATTATAAAAAATGCAACTAAATAGAAAGTAAACAAGAAGTATGCTGGCTTATGGTATATTAATCAAAGTACAGAAAAGATTTTACTTCTCTATAAATATGTTACAGACAAGTGTTGCAGAAAAGAAAAACTAGGAGCAAGAAAATTTAATTTTCCGGAAAAAGAATTTTATTGCTTGTCATCTCTCCTTAATTTTATTTTTAAATGGCTAATTCTGGTTAATTTTAGTAATGGTTGAATTCTGATTGATATTATGCTCATTAGCTAATCAGGTGCTAATCAGGTGCTCATTAGCTAATTAAATATTTAATTGTAAAGGAGACGAGATGGGCCAAGTCTCCCTTATGATCAAACCTCCCACGCTTCTTCTACTATATAGAAAAAGAGAACTCAAGCCGTTGAATTTAGTTTTTGTCATCAGGAAAAAAAGTGAAATAATGAAAGAAATGAGAAAAAACTTATAACAAATATAAAATTTTAACTTAATAGTTACAGGCTGTAATTTATGTTATTTGTTTTATTCATAAAAATTTCAGTGAAGTAATTGTTTTGTTGAGTCTAAAACAATTAAGAAAAATCTAAATCCATGCACGGTATTTAAGAGTTTATCCAAACATTTGAGACAATATATATAGAACGAAATTGCCCATTGCTATATAAAACCCCTATCCATACAACCAACGTATTTTTTATCTTCTTTGAAATAAAAACCACCATTAAAATAAATAAATTCTTCTCAATTATATATAATTCCAAATTTGTTACCCCATATTCATCTTAAGATCTTTTTACGGATTAAAGAGTCATTATCTTGTATCATCATATAACATATGTTTTATCCCTTGGTAACAGTTACTTTCTGAGCTCCGTTCATTAACCGTTCCCTCAAAAGCATCTTGTTCGATACAGAGTAAGAATCATTTTAAGTGCCCCATTCGAAGACTAGAAGCTCCATCTACAAAAGAGAGCTTTTGCACAACAGCAAACCCTTCTTCGATCGTCGTTATCCGGAGCTTATAACATCAATCTCTCTATTATGTCTGCCTCGGGCTATTTACTCAAGGCGAGAAAATGTTTTATGTAGAGTTCTCCACGAAGTCGGATGGATGTGCATGACTATACATGACTATGAAAATCGCTCGTGAACACTGAATTAATGACGTTCCAGACTGAAATGATGGAATAAAAGGAAGAAATGCGTAAATATTAAAGAAAGTTTGACGCGTTCAGTTTTAGTAAATTAAGAGAAATGGTTCAGGCCAATTCAATAAATTAAAATTTATTGGAAGTAAAATAGCAAGAGCAGCTACAAAGTTAAAAATGTAACTACTCTAATATTAGATATAAATTATTAAGTAAAATTAATTTATGTTATGTAGTTATATATTCTTATCACTATATTAGAGTTATACAGTGATGAGTACCGCTTGTTCAAATGTTACTTTCTTACCACAATGTGTTCCCTTATTACTCGTTTCAAATAGGCACTTTACAAGTTTTTCAGTGCTTCTAGTAGCACACTAAGCATGAACAAATTACCTTCTAAGTGCAATTGAAGTGTTTTTCCTCAAAAACACTTTTTAAACAATTTGAAAATATGATTCACCACTATCCCCAAGCCTTTTATATATATATATAAGCAAATATTTATATATAGAAACAGATATCAATGCATAAAGCAAGAATAATTAGAAAAGTAAACATTACAATCAGCGCAACTACAGCAATATAACAATTAATTAAATATTAAAATAAAGCAAAATTAGTAATCAATAAGTATTAGATTTTAAACTTCAAAATAAGAATCAGAAAAAAGGCACATCGCAAGATATATGAATATATTTATCAAATATCAAAAGTCAAAGAAATTTCCAAACATGCAATGCCTTCAAGAAAGTTAGAATTGTCATGTTTCCTGCCGCAAACGACTCATTAAAAAACCAACAATGATGAATTATGATTGCTGGCAATTTTATTGTGCAATTTTATTATTTTTAAAAGACTAAAAACTCAATAATGATAAGAAAACTTATTCTAGTACTGAACTGCAATACAGAATTACATGGTTTAGTTTTCATGTGAATTATTTATATATTTTAAGGATAATAAGACCCAATATAAATGAGAAATTATACAAAGGAAATTTGTAACTATAGGTAAATGGGTAAAGAATTATACGACAATAAGGTATGAAATTATACAAAATTATTAAACAAAACAATCTCAGAATAAACTAAGAATAAAAAAATAAAAAAATAATTAAACAAAAGAATTTAAAAATCGCCAACCAGGAAATCATTTTAAAAAAATACCAAATAAAAGCTTTTGACAAAATTAATTCGAGATTCTAGTAATAATAGTAGTAGTAGTACTACTATTACTATAATCTCTAAAAACTTGTTGTTACTATCGTTTAGAGCATTAAAAAACTACTATTATAATCTAATGAACAAGACAACTTTCTAAATTAAGGGGAAACATGGGAGGTTTAAACTGATTAAAAAATAATTCAGTTTTTCATAAAACATAAGGAATTTTTGAAATTCTTGTTATTTATTAGTTTATGTTTGTCATTTGTTTACACTATTATCCTTATTGGTATACATAGTGACTGCTTTTTAAGTATAAACAATATATTTTCATTAATGATTTTTAAAGAGCATTTAAACTGGTTACAATTCAAAGCGATTCAACACTCTAAGAAGGAGTTTTAAACCACGGGGATTAAAAGAGTTGTTGAAACCTAACAGCAGTAACTAAAAATTTACAAGCTATAATTAAAGCAAAATAAAAAATGAAATTGATTTTTCCTGTGGAAAAATAACAAATTTGAACTAAAAATTGCAAACTGTGCTGGGTTTTGTTCATTAAACTGAACTATCTGAAAACAATTTTATTATTCACCTTTCTCAGCCTTAGTAATATACAAACATGTATATTACTATGGCTGAGTAAGTTTACTTCATTTTTTTCATGTTTTCCTCTTTGTGGTTTTCTCTTTGACAGAAATAACTGTAAAAATATGTATCTTGATTTAGCACCTAAGGCAGGTTGGAGTCCTCAAGGAATAATATTAAGCCAATGAGTAGTAATATGAAACAGTTATTCATACAAGACTAAAACAATTATCCATGTACTACTTTAGAAATTCCTTGAAAAAAATGGCTAAATAACAATTTATTTAATTGTTATTTTACCATATTCAAACAAAACAGTCAAATAACCACAAATAAGATATTATTCAAACTGTAAATTGCGAGAAAAACCGGTTATTTACAACTTTTAGCTAATACGGTCAAGCAACCAGAATTTTATCACAATAACTAGTCCCCACCTAATGAAATCACTTAGTTCCTTGCAGCTGGCTACACACTATGGCTAAGAGGACTAATTTGTCAATCTCATGTTCGACAGAACGGGATTTAAAGTCCCAGCGTAGACACCACAAAATTTCCTCTAATCCTTTAAACACATGAAGAGTTATCAGTATCCAGCACTCCCTAATTTGTGACCTTGGGATATTAAAATACGATACTCTCATTCACGCATAGATCGCAGCGCCATAAAGCTGCTGAACTATCTGCTATGTCCAGTCTTTTTAAAAATTTCGAAACCGTACTAGTTGTAAATGGTTAAAAAAACATATAATTTTGTATTTATGGTTTTTTTTTAACCATACAAGTTGTAACGGTTTTAAAACCGTAAAGGTAAAAAATGTTCCTTACCGTAAACTTTACGGTTAATTGGATGAACAGACTGCCGCCGGTTATTTTAGCATAATTTTAACGAGAAAATTCCAACAGTCTAAGATATAACAAAGTTTCTTGAAGTCAGAATTCAAACTAAGATTAGATAAA